GGGGGGCGGCCCGAGGGGCTGGGAGAGACAACTGCTTTTCTTGTTCACTGAACCTCTAATAAAAATGATTTGCCTCAGGACACCAATTATTAATTCAACTTGTGCAGGTTGGGAGTTTGGCGAAGAAAGTTAGCCCTTTGTATTTCTTCAGCACACCTTAGGAGCTTGGTATCCTGTCTAGAATTGGCAAGAGAGTGATTTCCACCTCTCATCAAAAAAAGTGTAACATGGTTAAGTTCATATTCCTACCTGAAACCACCAGAAAATTTGGAAAAATCCAGGAAATAATGGTTTTTAAGACACTGAAGAAAAGGTACAAATGGTTAATGCTCTGAGAGTTTGGGAAACAAGGGCTGGGTGGTGCAATTGTTACAGCTTATTTCCTGGTTAGAGTTTCCTGTCCACCCTAACCAGGAAAGAGGCAAACCAGGAAAAGCCTGAAGGACTCAAGCTCCTTAAAGTCTGAACTGACAGTCTGGGGAGACCAAGGCGGCAGGAGTTAAGGGGCGTGGTACAGGGGAGGTGAGAATTACACTGTGCTATCTGTGGATGGTTTTCATCAAGGATTCAGGAGAGCGTTGAGGTGAAGAAACTGCTCTAGGCCTTGGAGAGAATTACCTATACAAGCTAGTGGAAATGTACCAAGGCCTACACAAGGTAAGAATAGTACATGTCCTCACTATCCTGAGTGGAGCACCTCAAAGTTCTCTGGGTATCATGAAGATAATTCAGAAGAATCTTGCTTCAGTAGTGAGGTACAATTACCCCCGAGACTGCAACAGCTTTCATTCAACTTCACATATTTTTAAAAGCAGCAGTCAAAAGGATCAACTATATAAATTAACTGTAACCTAGAAAACTCTGAAGAATATTTATGGGAATACAAATAAAGTGCTAGGTGTGGTCATGCTTGCCTGTAATCCTAGTATTCAGGAAGCTGAAGGAGGAGGATCACAGTGAGTTCAAGACCAGTCTAGGGTATTAATGAGTTCAAGGCAAGCCTGGAAAATGTAGCTAATCCTTGTCTCAAAAACAAATGAACAACCTAAGTGAAACTAGTACCCAACAGGGCAAAATTTTTATAATTTTAGGTGTATAATAACATAATACAACAAGATAAAAAGCAGGAAATTTTTACTGATAATGAACAAAATAATTTCTTTGAAACTAATGTAAGGCTGGACTTCCCAGGGAAAACATAAAATTATTTTCCTTTGGTACCAGGGCTCAAACTCAGGACCTTGCACTTGCTAGGCAGGTGCTTAAACCACTCAGCTGTTACTCAGCCCTTAAATTTCTGGTTGTATATACATTATATGCTTAAAAAGCTATAGGCAATAAAAAATCCAGGTGAAATATTGAATACATTAAGTAATATACTTACTTAAGACCTAAACAATACCCAATTAATGTTCTAGAGATGCAAATATTAAGATCTAAGGTTGAAAATAAACTCAAACATTATAAAAGACTAGTAAATTTAAATACATAGCTATGCAATTATCTGAAATTAATCACAGAGAGAGAAAAATTCAAGAAAAAAATGACAAGAACATCCAAAAATATAGGTGGTCATGGTGGAGAAGAGGCGGAAGTGCTCACAAATTGCTCTGAGATACCTGTCCCCGTCAGTGGTTATGACTGAGAAGATGAGACAACCAGAGGAAATCACTGGGAGGCAACTCGAACGAGCTCACATCCAGGGGCAGCCCAGAATACTGATCTTAAGATAATAAGTGAAGTGACAAAACAGCATGCCCAGTGCTGAATATTTCCTGGCTGAGCTGGGGAGGGTTGAAAGAGAAAATCTCAACAGACACTTAAGAATGTGCTCTGCTACCTGACAAGCACCCAGACTGGGCACAAGGGTGGCCTAGTCCTGCCTAGTGCCTGTGCGTAGGGGAGCAAAAGTGGCTAGACACGAAATCAATATGAAAGCAATATAAAATCGATAATTTTCTTGTACACTATTAGTGAGCCTTATGAGAAATCATGAAAACAATTTCATTCACAGTAGTTTCATAAGTAAAATATCTAGAAGCAAGCTACATGAAGAAGTAAGAAGCTCTATTATAACAATTTCAGAACATTGATAAAATAAATTGAAGGAAATACTAGACAATGGAAAGACCTCCATTGTTCATAGATTGGTAGAACAATACTGTCAAAATAGTTATATTATCAGAACTTTACTGTTTCAATGAATTTCCCATCAAACTATCAACCACATTCTTCACTGAACTAGAAAAAATGACTGTTAAATTCATACAAAATCACACTGAAAACCCAGAATAGCCAAATTTCCAAAGGGAAAAAGGAGAAGAGGAAGAAGAAGAACAAGGAGGAGAAGGAGGAGGAGGAGGAGGAGGGAGAAGGAGGAGGAGGAGGGAGAAGGAGGAAGAGGAGGGAGAAGGAGGAAGAGGAGGAGGGAGAAGGAGGAAGAGGAGGAGGGAGAAGGAGGAAGAGGAGGAGGGAGAAGAGGA